TCGTCGATATGCTCGGATATATCCGTGCCTTACGAAATGCTGAGATGCTCAGCAATCTTAAAACACATGTTTGCACTCTATTCAAAAAGTGGCTCAAAATGACGCGTTAATTTAATTATTTCAATTTCTTTAAAAATTCCATCAGAAAGTACGTGGCTTACCCAAACACCAATTTCATTTTTCAAAACGAGTCCATTTTAATGTTTCGCCTGATGCTGATAAATTACTTTCGATGAATTTTAATAGTTCTAGTTCATGCGGTTGTAGTAGTAGTAGTTGGTTTTTTTTGCTGCTTCTCATATAACTTTCTCCGTTTTCGAATTGGTCGAAGCCACAAGTGACAAATTCATTGCGCCATTTTAGTGAAATTAAAGTAAAACCTGATTTATTTATACATTTTTTTTGGTAGTCTTGTCGGTTGATTTATGCCATATCATATATACATCAAGCGCACGCGCACGCACAAAGTTCATGCACATCGAGACCGGAAAAAGTGCGAAATGCGAGCAAATTGATATATGTCGTAGACAATGAACGAAAAAAAAGAAACAAGAAGTGCAACAGGTTCAAAGTCATCGCATTTAATCGCCTACATGCGTAGCGACAGCTACATCAAGTAGAATGTGTAAACAGACGATTTCCGTGTGCTAGATCAGGCAAGAATTCAAAAGTACTGAACCATATATATGCAAACGAAGAAACACCGTACAATGAGACGGCCAATTGTTTCATTTCGTTGCCAGAAAAGAAAATCACAAGCGCGACGCATTTTAACAATTAAAATGTAATGTTTGATATCGAAATTACGTTTTGTTGGGGTTCTTTGCGAGTTCAAACTAGTTTTTGGTTTGATTTTTTCTTCACTTCGTTTTTTCTACACATTCAAATAGAAATTTTTGGATTGTAATCGTGAATTTTGAGCACATTCATTCGAAATGAATGCGAACCAAAAAAAAAACTTTTGAAATGAACACCTATTTGCTGATTCACTTTTCTCTCTATCACGTTCGTCCAAACGAAATAGAAACTAAGCCGCGAAGAGAGATAATTTCGTCAGCGATAGAGAGAGAAAGATACGCCGTTCATTTTCGTTTGTTTGAATAACACCGATTTATTACCGATGACACATTGAACAAGTCAGAGCTGTTGTCGGCGGAACCGTTAGAGTTGAGGTGATATCGCGCACAATGAATTCTAAATCGAAAGAAGAAGAAAGAAAACAGAATCTCAATATGACAATGAGATAGAGGAAGAGAAAGAAGGAAAATAAAGGGGTTACGTTACTATCAAATGAAAGACACACAGAGCACACAGGCGGCAATAAATGAAACACAATCGTAGTGCTCAATACCTCATTCTCATGACGATGATCGAGGTGATGAGACATCAGCCGAAGCGATACACTCACATGCTTACACATTCATTATGTTGTCCTCTGCATCGTGTTCCATCGAAGAGATTTATGAAAGATACAAATGAAATAAAACCATACTCAAACGCTTAAAGATTAACGTAAGCAACATCAATACAGATGTGTTGAGGAACAGGTTGATTAAGCGAACTTTGTCGAGAAAAGAATAGTCGCAATACTGTGGAGGAGAAAAAAAAGAACGACTTATATCAGTATAATGTTTTCGATTCTTCATGCGTATGTTGAAAAGAAGAAAAAAAAAACAAAACATATTCCAATAAATTATACTCGTGGTTCATTGACATTGATCTACTGCTTGTGATGAGCACAAGCGCGACCAAAATCATTCAGATTTTGAACGAGAAAAAAACACACTGTGCTCGACTGAAATTTCTTCACTTCGTTTAATTTGTCCCGTTTACGGAGAGACACAAACAACTCCAACGCATATATAATAAACAACAACTCACCGCGTTCTTATGTTAAACTCATTAAATATTCTTCTCACTGAATTATCATTTATCCGTGTCGTACACATCACGTGAATACTGTGCTGTGATTCCGTTAGGAATCGGGGAAAATATCATTGAAACACATAAATAATCAGATAACACAACAACAATAACAAAATTGAATGACGTACATAAACGTGTAATGAGATTGCAATCATAACTTTTCCTTCCCTCAAAATGATTGGTGATTCCGTGCAAATTCTACGGAAATTTATGCCGCAAAACAAAAACCAACCGACATTTTATCGCCCCATCATCAGATATCTGGATACTATTATCACTTTGGCTTAGTTTTGTTTTGTTTTTCTTGGTAAATTTTGTTCAATTCCTTCGAAATAATGATATCGAGTCGTTTCGATGACCTATTCCAACTTTGCAAAATTACTTGCACTCACTTTCACATGGAAAAATATCTCATTCAATTTTGGATTTTTATAGGCTTTTTTATTGTTGCAGTTTTTTTTTCTACTACAACAAGCTTTTCATTCGTCAATCACAACGATTGCAATCAGTCGCGCGAATTCTGTGTGATTCTTTTCTTCAACTTCATTTATTGTTTTATTTCTTTTGCCATTATTCCATTCCACCAATCAAATTCGGACCAAATTTCTCTTTCTTTATCATCATTTGCCATTGTTTCCGAATGTGTCCCTCTCTCATTCTAATCACGGCACGACGTGCACATAATCAATTCTCCAAGTGTGCTTTGTGTATCACATTCGGTGAAAATCTTTAGATGTGTGTTTGTGTGTGTGTGTGTATCATTTTTTCAGTTTTACTTTTTATCGCAGAATTCGATTTTCACCATTCATTTATGTTCTATATTCCATTCAAAGGTTTTAACAGTGTATTCAATTTTCACAATATGCGTATCCTCATTGGTGCATTCTGAAAGAGTGAGATCAAAATCGATGTGGTCTTCATATCCAACAGAACGATGCACAGCCGACACAAAACTCAAATATATGTCCGGAAACGCGCTAACCGATGATGTCAACTGCATTGGACCAAATAATACACCATATCCAAGGTAAATACGATTGAGAATTCGGCAACAGTACGGTAACAGTAGTAAGAATATACTCACCTATGTATATTATATATTGGGCTTTCATAGTTTTCCATTATTTGTAGTTAATTAAAGATGAGTTAATTTTGTTTCATCACTCTCTTCTGCAGTGCGACTATTCAGAAAATCTACAGCCATTGGTCGAGTGGAGCAAGAAAAGGACGAATGAATGGGCAAATTCCAACGACTCTCGATCCATCGGTCACACAATCCATGCTCATGAATTCATACTCATCGGCGAATCATGATATTCATAGCATAGCCGCTCGTAACGGTAAACTATTTTCTTTCTTGAAATTTCCATTTTCCCTTGATCCATTTGAAGAAAAAAATGCATATCATGAAGGTAAATAAAAAAAAAGTTCGGACAGTGTAACGTTTCCGAAGAAAGTAGAATGTGCAATTAAGTGAAAATCTCATAGAAATCTTTGTGAAAGTCCTACGAAAGCCGCTACGCTTTTTAATGAATGACAAATCAAAGAAAATTTAGCGGAATAATGATTCGAAATAAATGTTCCGAGATTCCGATTTATCTGAATTTTTCAATGTGAATTACTTATAAAAAAATTTTGGTTGGAAAATTCTCGGAAAAGTGCTAGTGTGGGAAATCGGAAAATCGGAGAAAATTCAGACCACTTTCAATCGATCGGGCGGGAAATTTCATGTGAGGTGGTGACCCAAAGGGCGATTTTCAAGCGAAAAAACCATCCATCTCTGAGATAAATGAAAAAATTCGGACGGCAAGTTTTTTCCATATAGCTCAGAAATGGATGGTTTTTTCGCTTGAAAATCGCCCTTTGGGTCGCCACCTCATATGAAATTTCCCGCCCGATCGATTAAGACTAATTTGAATTTTCTCCGATTTTCCGATTTCCCACACTAGCACTTTTCCGAGAATTTTCCAACCAAAGTTTTTTAATAAGTAATTTACATTGAAGAATTCCGATAAATCGGAATCTCGGAACATTCATTCCGATTTATCATTCTGATTGGTTTTAATACCGATAAATCGGAATCATTATTCCGCTAAATTTTCTCTGGGCATTGAAAGCGTTCAATTACCTTTTGAATATATTCAGCGAATCGATCAATTAAATCGCTAATAGGTATGTTTTCACTAAAAAAAGACTCTTACTAACGTTTGCATTATTCATGTCGCGCGCATTCCACTTGTAAAAGCTAGGGGAATTTAACTCTTACGAGTGCAGCATGTTTTCTGCCAGTTTGCTTGATTCGCGGAAGTTCGACGCGTTCGTTGTACGTACTGACGCGCACGGTCACAAGTTTACACAAGTTTGTTTATGGTTTTGCGCGTTTTTCAAGTTGTTATTTGACAACTAAAACGCGTTTCAAACTAAAAATCGGTTGTTTACGTGTATAAAGATTTTTCACATCCTTTCCAAAAGTTCAAAGATTTATATAATTATAAAATGGACAAAGGAAATATTTTTAAAGAGCTGGAGAAAGTGTTGGAAGAAAAAGTTAATCCAGATAGATATAATAAATGGAACGACTGATGTGTCCGCGTCGTCTAGCTTCATGTTTGCACACGAACTCGCACAAGTTCGCGCATGTTGTTTTAATACGGAACTTGTCAACTGAGTGGAATCATGCAAGTTCTCTGGTGAATGTAACAATTTCGTGCGCGTTTATATCATTTTTTTACAAGTTTTCACGTAGTTAAATCCCCCTAGTGTAAAAGGCACCAGGATTACGTGTATTGCACATTGTTACTGCTTAGCTTATGCTAAGTATGCCAACAAAAACAAAATGCTATGGCTAAAACCCGAACAAAATCTTTCGTGAATGTGTGTGTGTGTTTTTCATTCAGCTCGAAGATGTGCATATTTGACGAATTTAACAGGCAACGTCAATAACAAACAGTCGAAGAAGAAATGACATGGAATGCGAGAAGAGAAGGCCGACGGAAGAAAGCAAGAAAAAAGAGTGCTGAGGATGGATTTGTGTGCCATTTTTATATGCGCCTGAGAATCAATTGGTATTTTCTTTCTCTTTCTCCCTCATTGTCATCGTTTTTCACGTTGATGACTTTTTAAATACATTTTACGTCTGTTGTGCCGTGTCTCGTGTATATTTGTATACCGATCTGAGTCTGGATGATGTCTTCATTTTTGTTTGTTTACACTCTCGGTATTGAAGAATATTTAGGTCATTTATTTTACACATGTCATGCTATTTGCATAGCATTAAATCCGTCAATGTGTAATTCATTAAACATTGTGAGAAATTTATTTCTCTGTTTCTTTTTTTATTCTTCTTATGAATGGACCTTTGGGCTGTCGGACAAATTCACATACACATACATTGCGAGTCAACTTTGCAGTGAAATGTGCAATGAATTCGACAATTGAAAATTTGTAGCGTAGCATATTGAGAATGACTTGACAATGACACGATTTACGTCTCTTTACAACGTTACATTTTCACATTCATTTCATTCTTTCTTTTTTCGCTTGCCACATATTTTATGGCATTCATTTGCATTTTTGCTGCTCACTGTCTCTATAGGTCAAATGTTAATTTTCTCAAATTGTTTATCGATCCGTTTTTTCCTTTGTGTTCCTCACTTTTAGCTCGTTCGTTGTCCAATCCATCGGAAAAATGCAATGCAACACCGGCACGTCTCTGCAAAACACGATACAATACCACGGCGCCAATGTATGGCGTTAGTCTAACATCGGGTCAACCTGTGACAATCGTGCAAAAATTCCCAGATTTATTGCAGCAAGTGGTGTTCGAAGTGTGCGAGTAAGTTGGGATTTTCGTTTTGTTACCATTTTTTGGTTTGTTTGTTTCGATGTCGTTTCTATTCACAGTGATTTATTGGCGCAATATGCAGTGTCTTCACCGCAAGCGTTCATTCTCTTTCAATTTTGCATGCTCCAATTTGTAGCGTTTTTTTCTTCTTTCTCTCTCTCTCTTCCTCTCTCTCTTTCTCTCCATGTAATGATATTGCGCTTTTTCTCATCACTCATATTTTTGTGTAAATTTTTCAATGGGGCAATAAAATGAAACGATTGAAAAATAAGAAATCAAAAGGCTTCTCTTTCTTTTTTATTATAGTTAATTATATTTCTTTGGTTTTTTCTTCTTTCTCTTCTTCTTTGTATCTGTGTTTAGGTCCTCTGAATGTGATGTTGTACGTGGTGAATGCACACAAACCTATGTTCCGTATCTATTTCTGGTGATTCCATTGGGACCGGTAACACTGACCGGCCAAGATTACGTTCTTGTGGAAAGTGGTTGCGTGTGCAAACCAAAATACGCAACAGAATTGGCCGAGGCAAAGGTAACACCTTAGCCGCCTCAAATCCATTCGTCGTCTACGTTCACGCTATTAAAAACGAGAGACCTTTGGCTTTCAATTCTCAAGAAAAGAAAAAGAATGTACGTTTCTAACTGTTTGGAAATAAGTAAAAAAGAAATTTCGTACGATAACAGCGTGAAATGTTTTTAAAACGTAATCAAATGTGATGGATGCTTTATGAAAATATTGGATCCTCTCCAATCTGAGAAATGACAATAAAAAGAAAAAACCGAATGAATTTTGTTCAAATTCCATTCACAATACTCATGACTGGCCGAGGCAATCAAAAATAGACCTTTGTGAAATATATCATTGAAAATTGACATTTCCCATGCAAATATTTGAATAAAGTTCGTTCGATTCTAAAAGAGCAGGAAAAAAACAAAACAAACAACTAAATTCAAATTGAATCCAAAAAAAATGAAAATATTATCAATAGTTACAGATGATTTTGTTTCTCAAACATCAATTTCAACAAAATACGCTGATATTTTTATTAAAAATAGATTCTTTTTCTGTGCTCCATTATTTTACTGTAGTCATATCGCGATTTGACATTCTAATTTAAAACCATCTATTTATTTAGTAGTACTAATTTAAAGCGAAAAAAAAACTCTCGATTCTGCTATCAGTTTTTCTTTTGTTCTATTTAAGAATTTATTTAATAATATTTGTGGACAGAATTGAACTGTTTATCTTCTTTGGAACAAAACTTGAATCTTATTGAAAATGAAACAAACGAAGAAAAAACAGTAAAATCAGATGGACACAAATCATTTGAATCATGCTTTAATCGAAGATTACTTGTTTTTATTTAGAGACATGATTCGATGTGCACTAAAACAAACTAATGTAAGCAACAATTAGTGTATTAAAAATGTGTAATTTTAATGAAATGGCAATTTAAGTTATGAATCATTTTTAAACAAAATAAAATGTGTATTTAAATACAGACATTAAAAAAAGTGGAAGCGTTACGTTTTTTTTCCCTTCTATATGTCGTTTCGTTTTTTTCTCAAACATTTGCGAATCGGCTGAAGCCATTTTTAGTCGCAGATTTAGACCATTCATTCATGTTATACTTGTGACAAGTAACTTGTCATTGGTTCGAGATTCTTTCAAATGAAATTGAACAAGAAGCTGAGAATTCGTCCGAAATAGCCAAGAAGAAAAAAATCCAAGAAATATTTAATGGGCAATCAAACGAAGTAGTTTGATCAGTCAACCAGTTTTGAATTATAAAACATATGTGTGAGGAACAGAAACAAAATTCGTCTGTTAGAATGACACCTACACAAATAGGTCGTTGACTTGTAACTTCACAAATTGTTATTCAACTCTTTTGAAACGACCATGAACTTTGATGACTCAAATCCCCCACAGGTACAAATTTGAAAGTGCGCACCTGAAAAGAATATCGAATATTTTTTGGTCGAACACGTGGCCGTCAAAAATAAAAAAACGATCGAACTCAAAATGTGTTCCAAGTTGAATTAAAACGCAAAACTCGCATTTGGTTCAGTTTCTTTATTTTTGTAAATGTAATGTGGTTTGAATTTAAATGTAATTCCAGTTGCGACTGACATTTTTATTACAACAATAATTTATACTTGATGCCAATTCAAAATCATAATCTAGGGATGAATCACTACAAATCCGTGAGTGGTCTTAATTTATAAATGTATTTCAATAATCGAATTCTATCCATTTTCTCTCTGCTACATATGTGATTTCATGTATATTTTTACTCGAAGAAGAAATGAAAACGAGAAGAACTTGCATGAGCACTATGGATCCAAGTGGTAGCCAAAAAAATGGCTATGGAATAATTTGCTGGGAAAAAACCTAAAAATCTAAAGCAGAATATAGAAAAGTAAATCGGTGCTCAAACGAAATGACAAATGGTTGACTTTTAATCTGAAGTACTGCTGTTCTGTTTCTTCATAGATTTCAGTGCCCTTTCTCGTAACTGTTTCTCCAAATCGTCGTTGACAAAGTGTGTACCTCGTGTGCGTCCATCATCTGATTGCGAGTCGTTGTTCGAGTCCTTGTCGTTTTTACCATGCTTCTTATGCTTCTTATGTTTTTTGTGTTTCTTATGCTTTTTGTTTTTCTTTGCCTTTTTACGTTTCTCTTCGGCTTCCGAATCGGATGTGCTGTCATCATCGGACACTTTTCGTGACGATGTTTTCGATTTCTTTTTTGACGATGCTTTCGATGAATCCGCCTCGGATTCAGATGTGCTTACTCTACGCTTCGGCTTTCGGCTAACCGATTCATCGAGTTTTGCCTTCTTACTGGCCGTCGATTCTTCAACACTTGCTTCACTTACGCGCTTGTGTCTGCCCAATGACGACTTTTCTCGTTCTCGGTCCCGCTCTCGCTCTTTTTGTTCACGTTCTCTTTCCTTCTCTTTTTCCTTCTCTTTTTCCTTTTCCTTTTCCTTTTCTTTTTCCTTTTCTTTTTCCCTTGCTTTTTCCTTCTCCCTTTCTTTTTCTTTCTCTCTTTCCTTTTCCTTCTCTCTTTCTTTTTCCTTTTCTCTTTCTTCGCGTTCATCACTCGAGCTCCCTGATGACGTATATTTCTTCTTCTTCTTTACCTCAAGTTCACTCTCTGATGAATCCGACTCATCGCTTGACTCGTCAGTTGACGGTTTAACCAACTTTTTTACCGATTTACTGTCCGCTTTTGGTGCTCGCTCATTTTTTTTCAAGAATGGTGATGGCGTGCGTGATAAGCTAGTAGAATACTGGCGAACCAGTCGTGGATCACTTGTTTTGGCTACCTCTTCGCTTGGTTTTTTATCTGTTTTTGTTTTGGCCGCCCTGTCACTGCCCGATGCTTGTGACTTAGCTTTCGGATCTGATTTCTCTTTGGCCAAACTCGAATGCTTCTTTGACTCGTCTTCCAGTTCTATCTTACTCTTTTGGCTATGGCTTTCTCTGTCAGCCTTTCGATCACCATCGCTATACCTTGGTCGTTCGCGTTCTCTGGACGAATGGTGTCTATCGCGAATCGGCACTTTTCTTTGATTGGGACGTGGGCTCCGATCTCTTGATCGACTTCGTCTATCAATTCGATCTCTTGATCGTCTATCGCGGGAATTTCTCAATGGCTTTCTATTTCGGTCGCGGCTGAAACTTCGGCGATTCCGATTGTCACGCTGCATTGGACGAATTGGACTGCGTCGGTTTCGATTTTGAGCCCAACGATTAGGCGGTGGTGACCATCGTCTTCTGTATCTATTTAAAATAGAAAAAAACAATTGACACCCGAATTATTAGCTAGTTTAATTATTTTAAAATTATCAGAAACTCTTTTCAAAACTTGATCAGAAAAATATAGAATTTATCAGAAATATATCGAAAATTAACAGAGAATTTTTCGAAATATGATCAGAAAGAAATATATTTTTATCATAAAAATATCCGAAAATGACCAGAGTAAATTCGCATTTTGACCAGAAAACTTAATAGCTTCACCAAGGTCGCTTTCTTCGTATACAAATACATTGGAAAGATTTGACGTAAGACGCCTCTACGCGTGGAATGCTCGAAGCTGTCATCGTACACATATTGAACACGAACATTGTCGTTTACACAATCGCACTTACACAAATGAACGCATCGATAGTGCCCGCTCAATATATGTACGATGAGTGTTTTGAGTGTCCCTCGCCTAGAGTGCTGCGTGTTGTTTTTCTTCGTTCACTAAGCGATCTTGGTTTTACCATAAGTTATAACACCTGATTCAAAAGTTTTTGCACTAAATCGAAAGCCGAGATACTTTTTACTTATTACCGAGATTACTTTTTTGGGAAAAGTGCTCAGAACATGAGTGAGGTGGCGTTTTGCTTCAATAATTCGATTAATAACAACTATGGAATAGTTGTTTTTGGGTTTATTATACTCAAATATTTCAGGTTTAAAGACACAATTTGGCTCTGATTTTTTCTCTCAAAGCTACCTTATCCCAAGTGGACGCTGAACTCCTTTCCACTCTCTTTCTACTCCATTTACACACCTTTGTGTATAATAAATAGGGAAAGGAGTAACGACTCCCTTTTTGTCTCATCTTCTTCTTCTTCTTCTTCTTTTTAGATGTTGTGTGCTCTTCAGATGTTGCGTGCTCACAGCGCATAATAATCAGAATATAGGAAGAAGCAGAAAAAGAAGAAAAAGAAGAAAAAGAAGAAGAAGAAGAAGATGAGACAAAAAGGGAGTCGTTACTCCTTTCCCTATTTATTATACACAAAGGTGTGTAAATGGAGTGGAAAGAGAGTGGAAAGGAGTTCAGCGTCCACTTGGGATTAGATGAAACGTTAATCAGATCTTGAAATCGAATTTTTGAAGTATATGGAACAACAAAGTTCGAATGGATGGTGTTCATATGCATTGAATCTTACTCAAAAATTGTGAGTGAACACCTTTAATAAATTTTATTTCCTTGGTATATTTGGTATATTTTTCTGGAGAATACCCATTTTTTCTGATCCGTTTATGAAACGATTTCGGATATTTTTAAATATAGTTCTGTTCATTGTAGTTTTTTTCTGATCAATTTTGAAAAGAGCATTTCTTATCATTTTAGATATTTTTCGGCTAATTTCCAAATTTTTCTGATCATATTAGGTTTTATTCTGATCAATCTAATAAAAAAGTTTCTGATCATTTTGAATATTTTTCGGATACTTTGCTAATTTTTCGGATCAAATTTGTAAAAAAAGTTTCTGATCATTTTAAATATTTTTCGGATCATTTTCGAAATTTGAGGATCAAAATTAAATGAGTCGTATTTAGTGTATTGTGGAGTTTTGATCACATTTTCACAGTGTTTCAATGAGATTAATCTCAGTGGTAATTGGCCAACGCTGTGGGTCAAATCATGCTCAATATTCATTACTTGTACTGTGTCTGAAAAAATTGATCAAAACTTGTGCATTCTTCAAACACATAAAATGACTGGTACCTATCACGATTATCACGAATATCCCGACGTGGAGACCTTGAACGATTTCTGGGCGAGCGATTCCTTGAGTTGCGCCGATGGCGTGACGTTGACCGCCGGTTATTCAACCGATCTGGCCGATCTCGAACTCTTTCTGGAGTTTCACTACGTGACGAGTCTCTATTGTTGCGATAGTGCCGCTTCTTCTGCACGCTGTTTTCACTCTTGTGAATTTCCTTACTTTTATCTGTAAAAAAACAGAATGAAATCATATAGGAAAATGTTCTTTCGAAATATCATGAAGACGGTTTAATTTTTCTTTTATTGCGAAAGGTTTCAAACTTACTTTTAGCTGAGGATGTAGAGCGACTACGCGAGCGTGATCGTTTCTTTGCACCAGTTGATCTGATAAAAATGAAATGTTGAGAAAAATTGAATTGGCTAAATTAAAAATTCAACAAAAAATGACGAATTTCGTAGGACATTTTTGAATTTTATTTTCTTCTTGAAATGTTCAAAGTTTGTTTTTGAATCAATGGATCAGTAGTTACCTCGATCTGGATCGACTAACGCTTTTACTTTTGCGACTGTTCGAGCGTGAGCGTGAGTGTGACCGGGTCCGTGAGCGATGGCTTCGTTTTTTTGTTCCACCCTCCAATGTATTCTTTTGAGCGCTGGAAAATGCCGTCTTCGACTCGCTTTTCCGTTCTTCCGACTCACGTTTCTTCGATGCACTTTCGGAATGATTTTTCGAGTTCGTATGGCGGCTTCTCGATCTGTCTGTGGATCGATCGCGTGAACGTTGTTGTCGCGAAGATGAAATTTTCCCGGCATTATCTTTGCTCTTTTCGGGTGTCGGGCTTCGTTTGCCTTTCGATGCGTTGTCGTCATTTTTATCGGGTACACTGGTTGAGTCGGCCGACTGTTTACGCGGACCAGGTGATGGTGACGGTGCCGATTGATGAACGGATGGTTCTCTGCTACTATCTCGGCTACTTCTTGGTCTAAATCGACCGGACCGAGCCGTATCTGGATCACTTTTCTCCCTATCAAACAGCTTATTCTCTTCTTCTCGCCTCAAAATTTCATCTTTTTTCTGTTGTATAAACTCTTCGGGTATACCGGTTTCTGATTCCTGAGCGGACAACAACAGAGCCCATAGTTCATCCATAAATTGTCGTGCATTTTTCCCATTTAAAAATCCCGTCATATTGATTTGCATCTTTTTCGGACAAGGATACTATCGAATGAAAAAAGAGATGTAGAGAAATAACATAATTTAAATAAACATTCTCGGCATGATAAATGGATTTAATTTTTCAAAGTTTACTTTGTCCTCAAGTTGATTGTATACAAATTCAACGACAACATCGTCTTCAATGTGTAAGTATTCGGTGATTTTCTTGCTTATCCATGGTCGTAAGACGTCGAGTTTCACTTTGTCCATATCAACCTGATTCGAAAGAAAATAAAAAGAGCAAGGAATAAAGAGTAACAATTTAGTTTTGAACTCAGTCTTATTTGAACGAAGCAAACGATTTTGTTTGGCAATTAATCACACAAACAACAGTTGCCGCACAGTCAACAAAGTAAAATGTCCAAAACAGACAAGAAAAAACTGCATACCCGTTGATTTAAGCAGTCGCCGAATTTCATTTGTTTCAGCAGTTTCTTTTCCTTATCGCTGAAACGAGTGTCCTGTTGTTGATTGGTTCCCTGCAAAAATCGCATTATCAGTTAGTACATAGAAGCAATGTGTCATTATACAATTGACAAATCGATATATTATGCGGCATCCAATTTTGGTTCAATGGAAATGTGTATATGATTTTTTTTATATGTAGCTTGCTCTGCGTTGACAGCACCCAAAAAATGCAACTTCAGATAGAAAAACGCAATAAATTTGTGTACATTGATATGGTTGTTGTTTTTTCATGTTCGGTCGATTGAATCATCCGAACAAGTGTCGCAGAGGAATAAAATCAGTTCTGCGTGTATCAGTCGTATCGTCACGCAATATTGTCGTTTGAAATATTGATAATACGAAGCGAATTGGCGTGCACTTACTTAATGCCCTGAGTATTGTTCGGTCCACCAAGTGCAAATGTATAGTTAGTTTTTTTTACAATTGTTTCATTTTTCATTACTTACTGTAAACATCATCTTGATTCCGTTCAAATTGTTTTTCGTATGATAGCACTGGAAAACTGAGTGGATATCGCGATTTTTTCTCTTCTCACAATCTTTTTTCTATTGTTATGTTGGTACAGTAATTTATTTATCGATACGTTTTAATCCTTCGCTCCTAAAAACCGCAACAATTATTTTTCACCAAAAAAACAACAACAACAACTTTAAACTGGACTCAATTGCATTTTTTTCCTTGATTTTGTGTGGTTTTGTATTGTTTGAAACTAATTGACACTTGATATCAAATGAAAAAAAAATTCTTCATGAAAACTCAATCGAGTTTGTCATACGATTGCGTTGTGGCCGCTGCCCAAATTGTCTTTTTAACAAATTGTAAACATGTTAAATATTGATATTAAATGCTTTTAATATCAGACACATCCGAATTCGATGTCAAAGGAGAGGAGAAAAAAAAACTTTCATGCCGCTTAAATTGCAAAATGGCCGGGTTACTTCACTGTCTATTATTTATAGTTGGAAACGAAAATACCGAATGAATGAGTTGAGTACGGAACGATAGTTCAATGTATAGATTTTGACGCATCTGAAGTGTATGTTGTGGCCGATTCAGAAGAAATCGCAATGGAAACATTCAATACGGCAGCGAAAACAACTGAAAACGACGGCACTAAACACATCCATTCTGACAATGTGCATCGATTTGTTCGATTGACAGGCTGAAAACGACCGGTGATGGCGCTGTCAAACCACACACGAATCCAGCAAACACATACACACGTATACACACGCATACACACATACATTTGCCGTACACACGCCGCACGAAAACACATTGAGTTTTAGCAAGCTGTCAACGTGATTTCCGGATTCTTTCTTTTTCAATTTAGAGTTCAAGATGGTAAGTGTCGTAAAAATCGCGGAAAATAATTCGAAATCATCGACCGTGTTTTAAGCGATAAATTTTCAAAATCTTTCGAAAGTTGTTCAGAAAACCACGATCAATCGATATATTATGGTATTTTTTGTGCATTTTCGTGAAATTCGTTGAAATTTTGGAAAATTATCTGTTTACATACCATCGGCTGTTTGACTCAACTCTGAAAGTGGTGTATTGGATCTACGAAATGTTCATGCAAACGAACCGCACATATTCCAAAATAATTCCAAGTGCAATAAAATACGATCGAATTCAAGCGAAAGAGAAGAAAATTGCAGGCGCACAATATCCACATTTTCATTTATTCAAACAGTTTACGTGTGTTCAAATGGTTGAATCATGAATAAAATAATGTGTTTAACTTGTGTGTCGAACGCAAGACTTTGTGATAAAACCTAACCTTATTCTGTATATGGTTGAACGAAACGCAAATGCTAATGTGTGGATTTTGTTTTCTAATTTCAGGCTCGTGGTCCAAAGAAACATTTGAAGCGTTTGAATGCTCCAAAAGCATGGATGTTGGACAAATTGGGTGGTGTATTCGCTCCACGTCCATCAACCGGTCCCCACAAGTTGCGCGAATCATTGCCACTTGTCATCTTCCTTCGTAACCGTTTGAAGTATGCTTTGGTAAGTTTGTTTAGATGCACATTTACTCTTTGAATTCCCCATGTATTTCGCATCATTTTGAAAACAAACTCAATGAATTTCCCATTTTTTTCTTGCCCAACAGACTAACGCTGATGTCACCAAGATTGTCATGCAACGTTTGATCAAAGTCGACGGTAAAGTTCGCACTGACAGCAACTTCCCAGCCGGATTCATGGGTATGTTTTTTATGAGCTATGTCACATTGGCTGACTATACCACATGGTCAACATTTGATGAACAATGCCCAATTGATTTGTTGTTTACTTTCGCAGATGTTATCACCATTGAAAAGACTGGCGAACATTTCCGCTTGATCTACGACGTCAAAGGTCGTTTCACCATCCACCGTATTTCAGCTGAAGAAGCTAAAGTGAGTAAATCCAATTTCGATCAGAACGGTGTCAACAAACGTGTATTCTAAAACGTCTTTTTTCTTCAATATTTGCAGTACAAGTTGTGCAAGGTCAAGAAAGTACAGTTGGGTGCTAAAAACGTTCCATTCTTGGTAACACACGATGGCCGCACCATCCGTTACCCAGATCCAATCATTAAGGCCAACGACACCATCCAATTGGACATTGCCACCACAAAGATCACCGACCACATCAAATTCGAATCAGGTAAAATGACATACTCAAAATCATACTCAACAATCGAACAAAATTGTGCTCACAAACAACACATGAAAAAAAAAACATATTGAAATGACGACTGGATATGTTGACATTAAAATTCACCAAATCGAAATGAACAATTTGTGCTGAGTGAAAGAAAAAAGATAATGGCCAACCAATGTTACCATGTCGATCATTTGAATTTTGATTTGAAAAATGTTTTCTCGTTTAAACAATTTGATTAATTGTTTGAAATTTTTTTATAGGCAACTTGTGCATGATTACCGGAGGTAGAAATTTGGGTCGTGTCGGTACCGTTGTCAACCGTGAAAGACATCCAGGTTCATTTGACATCGTTCACATTAAAGATTCCCAAGGACACGTTTTCGCCACACGATTGTCGAACGTATTCATCATTGGCAAGGGCACAAAGGCCTACGTCTCATTACCTAAAGGCAAAGGTATCAAATTGAGCATTGCTGAAGAACGTGACAAGCGTTTGGCTGCAAAGAGTGCACATTAACATTTTTTTTCTCGCAACTTTCATCGAGAATACACTGAAATGAAAAAATGTTATATACAATAAAATGAAAAAAAATTGTGAAAAAACGTGTTTTTCCTGTTTGGACGTCACATGGTCGCGACACAATTTTGAGCAGTTGCTTTCAGTGCATTTGTACAATTGAGTGGAATTCCAGGTTTAAAAAAATACAAAATATTTTTTTCTTGTTTTACAAAGAATCACATCTTCTGGGAATTTTGACATTTTTTTCGGAACACATTATTCCAACTCAACTGTCCACTGCATATCTTAATTCTTATCAAACGTAAACTTTGATTTGGTTTCTTTTCCAGGAGGAATGTGGTAAGTATCTGAAAATGATATGAAATAAAACGCATTGCAAACATTTTTTCAGAGTAGTTTTAATATAAAAATATTAAAAATGTGGGAAATAAATAAAAAAAAGAATGTACAAAAAAAATGATGTAAGTTTGTTTGTGAACAAATAATGCAAGTTTAAATATGTTGACCGTTTGTTTTTTTATTCGACATTTTGGATTCGTTTATTCGCTTTTTGAACGAAGCACATGATTAATTTATAATATCTTCATATTCTCTTCCAAATACAACTAATTAAATTTCTGTGTGTTTTTGTTTTATTCTTTTTTTTCTCTCAACGATGATCGATCTTACATAAAATCAAAATATGAAAAAATAGAGGAAGTTACGACTGCTTTACAAATTGGCGTGTTTACGTTCTTCGATTTGTGTGTGTGTTTTTTTTATTCGTTTTCGTGTGTATTTAAGAAAAGGACAAGTTGAATTCAAAGATTTTGTATCGATTTCTTGTTTGTTTGTTCTTTCGTTTGAAACGAAACAAAAAACATTTTCGTATTGTTCGGAAGACTTATGATTTGTTTGTGTTACGTTTCGCTATCACCTTGGGAATTCCATCTCGACTATTGGTCACAGTGGCATGGAATCCGGTTTCCCAATCGGCGTAATAGTCGACGGTGCGTACATTGCCATCTGGTTCAACCTATTATTAAATGGGGATAATTATTTGTATTTAGAATAACAAGCATTGCTCATGATATCAATGAATATGATTCTTACCAGCGAATATTGTCCTTTGACAACGTCACCGTCGCGAACCTCCTTCTGATGCTTGACATCACCGGTGTGTGGATCATTTACGCCATATTCAAATGCGTAGCGTGGATGAAGATCCTAGAACATATTTTGAAAGCAGAAAAAAAAGATTTTATTCGAATATCTGGCTCACAATCAATGATATATTGAAATGCTTAAATTACATAGTATTCATCATGTTGAGAGTAGACCGATTTGACGGCACCGATTGCTGGAACGGATTTGACCAGACCAATTGGTGTTGTTGTCAATTTTGAAATTGTTGGCACAACACCTTGAGCATATCTGATGAAGAGATAAATGTTTTTGGTGAGAAATCAAATGAAATAATGTTTTGCATTTTTAATGTATTTCTAATTTGTTGTTGTTGTTCCTTTTGCATGAAACGAATACATACCTTAATCCGGGTGTTGCTCCCAAGTAACCAGTACCAGCATACAATCCATTGGCTGAGTATCCATGGCCTGCATATCCGTTAGCAGCATACAAACCGTTGGTGGCATATGAACCACTGCCAGTTATCACCTTGCTTCCGGCACCATAGTGTCCGGCTGTTGAAACATAACCAGCCGTTGGATAGGCCCCTGAAACAATTCCGGCTGGATGAGCAAGACCACCTACTGAAGCTAATTGGCCGCCCGAAACATATCCACTCGTTGCTGGGTAAACGGCTGCACCATATCCAGCTGCACCATATCCAGCTGCCCCATATCCGGCTGCACCATATCCAGCACCAGTATATCCTACATTTGAAATCACTTTTGCGCCCGTTGACACCAAATTCGAGCCATGCAAGTATGAAGCCGATGACAGTCCGGGTGATACATATGTTTGAGCTGGGGTGTATCTGTACGATTTAAGGAATGATGATAATTTCAAGAAAGTTCATTTTGTTTTCGACCGTAGTTAGATCTTAGAAAAATGTCGTGAATGTTTGAAGTACATACCCAAGACTAGCCCCATGATAACCGGCGGTTTTGATGATTCCAGCGCTGCCTAATGTGGTTGCTACAGCGGGTGCAACATAGGCGCCGCTCTTGTATCCTGAAACGTAGGCACCACTCACCAATGGATTTGTGGCATATGAGACTTGTTTGGTGATCGGAGTCGAGATGTATGATGTTGACACACTTGGTGTGTATGAAGCGGCATATTGACTTACAGCTGGTGCGGCGTACGCGATTTTGTTAGCAGCCACATAAGACGAGGTAATGGCTGGACTCACATAGCTCGAAGTGACTGCTGGGCTTGAGTAAGTTGCAATGGCTGGGGATGCATATGAGGAGACGATTTTTGCGGCAGGAGCCGAATAAGCGAGCTTCGAAACACCATAGGCCGAACCATAGCCTGAATTGTAACCAGAATTGTAAGCTGAACCATATGAGCCATGTGTTGTGTCATAGTTTGCCCCATAGGCGGATGAATATGGTGAAGTGTATTGAGTTACTGCTGGAGCTGCTGAGTATGCAACTTGCTTGACAGGTGCCGATACATATGATGTGGACAATGTTGGTGTAGTGGCATATGCCAATTTGTTCGCGGAATAGTAAGTCGAAACGGCTGGAGCTGCTGAGTATGTGGATGCAACGGCTGGTGTTGCGAACACTTTACTCACTGCCGGAGTACTAATTGCTACTTTCGGTGCACTGTAATATGAAGAGGATAATCCATAACCTGATTTGTATGTTGAGACTACTGGTGCTGCAGTTACTGCAACCGTTGGACCATCTTTGAACATGAAATTAAAAGAAAAAAAGAAAAATTTTTCAAAAGGATTTACAGAAAAACTACATTTGGGTACACGCCGTGTATTATGCAATTCTGCTGGAGCTTGTATTAAAATAAATACTAGTAATCTTTCGGCAATACACTGCTTTTGCTTTCATCGGATCAAGCTTAAACCAGTCAAGTACTCACAAGCGATCGGTGCAATGGTTGGACTGGCAGCAGCAAATGTTGTAGTAACAGCTGGCGTTGAAACGTATTTCGTAACTGGTGCGGCTAAAACTTTTGCTGGGGCTGAGTAATAGGCGCCTCGTGAGTAAGATGCGTCATAATCGTATGAACCACTGTATCCAGCTGTTGTTGCTATTGCTGGTGTTGCTGCATATTTGGTCACAATGCCAGCCGAATAGGCCGGTGTGTTCAATGTGTAGGCTGGTGCACTTACAGCAACTTTAGCGGGTGGCAAATATCCCGGTGTAATTCTTGGATATGAATACCCAACACTTTGCACGGCTGGCGCATAACTGTGAAGAGAAAAAATATTTCATGATTTGTTTTTTTTATTCTATTATAAAACCAATTATTCAGAATGATATTGGAAAAAGGTTATCTCAAAGCAAAATTAAAAGAAATCCGTGAACATTTTAACTTTAGTCACTCCACTCGTGAGCATTTCATTTTTCAGACAGAAAAAAAATTTCTTTCTCTTTCTCTCTGGAACAAAAGTGAAATTGAGTCACAAGTTTAATTTTCCACAAAGCATTCATTTTACGTGTTTTTTCAGTAATTCAAAATGAAACAACGCTACCGAAACTTTCAAAATGTCATTGTTAATGACAGTGACGATTAATAAAAAAGTAGAAAAGAAACCTACCCAACGCTAGCTGCTTGATATCCTGTTGTGTATTTTGGGTATTGATAGTTCACAGCTGGAATTGAAACGATTTTGCTGGTTGGTGTATAAGTGGCCACTTTCGATAGTGGAGCATTGTATGCGACCTGGCTTACAGGTGACAAGTACGATTTCGTGATCACAGGTGCGATTGGTGTAACGGCTGGATATGGTGCAACGGTGGCAATTGGAGCGACCGGAGGTAAATAGGATTTGGTGACCGGCGTTGGTGGTAAATAGGATTTTGTAATAACTGGAGCAGCTGGCACAAATGGTGCTGCTGAATAAACTGCTTGCTTAATAATCGGGCCTGGAGTGACCGATGTGTAGGCGGATTCTTCTAATGATGAGTATTTAATGGCATTGCCTTGTGTATAAGTGGCAATTGATGGTGACACCGAATATGAACTAATGCCCTCTGTCAGCTGAACGGCTGGCTTTGGATACACATAACCTTCGCTTGCATGAATACAATCTGGCACACCAGCCAGAATTTGTACTGATAGATTAGCCACTAACAATATAGTGACTAAGATCTAGAATGGCCAAAGAGAAAAACAATTTTTTTAATAAAAATCGAATCAAGCACTAAAAATGCACACGAATAAATACAACATAAATAATTGTGAATGGAAATGCGAGCACTTGGATGAAGCATGAATTCGATTAAGCCATTTAATTATTTGGTTTTTGAATTTAATTGACGTCGCCAATTTGAAAGAATAACAAACAGATTGATGCAATGTGATTTATGAAATTAAGAGGTAGCATTTGAGTCAAATTGCATAATGTCGGTATTCTATTTCATATTTTACTTGTTGCTCGACAATAAACGTTGGTTGAAATCGAGCAAAATGAAAATCGCTTAATTTTGACATTCAAATTTCAAATGTGCATTGTCCAATTAATGAAGACATAAAAATGGCAACAAAGAAAAATCCGTTGAATCTGTCAAAAGCATTCATGGAAAGTCCATTTCACGGCGAGGTAATTAATAGCAGTTCGGTTTTTGGAACGAAAATATCAGCCTGTGGCTAAATCCACCAAATGCCAAAGGGTGAAAACGCGCGCAATCGCCTCATTTTTCTTCGAAAAGGTTTTTCGTGTCACTAATTGAATATAATTGTGATTTAGATGTCATGTTACAACCAGCACTAAATGGTTTTCAAAATCCTAGAAATGGTTGTTATTGAATTTGAACGTTGAAAAATAAAAATAAAAGCATCTCGCTTGTTAATTAAATATTCAATCTAATTTTTGTTCGCGTTTTATATTTATTTCAAAAATACTTTTGTTTTGTGAAATGTTAACGGACAGCGGCTTCGGTCTATTTTACAATGATTAAAGTTATCTCAGAAATGAATAACGATCTTTTCGATTGGGTAACAAGATACGCTATGATAAAGTTAGCTTGAAAGAAATAGCGCAACATTTGATCGAACGCTTAATTTAGGATTTATTTAAATCTAGAATGCTATCAATTTTGACAGACATTTAATACGTATATTCAAGAGATTTCTGTATTAGCATTCGATGTCTGCATTTTTTTTTAAACCGAGCTAAAATTGAGGATTTGAATTAATATTAGCTGGTGGAAAAAGTCAGGCATTTTTCTCCTTTCACATTTTTATCCATAAAAGATCAGACAAGTATTAAAAACGGAACAGAGAAAAATGGTTTACAAAACCATCACATAATAATCTGTATCTTGCGGCATTTTACTTGACAAGTTTAGATATCTTAAAGCAAAACACAATGAAAATCAATCGAATTTTTAAATATACGATTCTGTTTGAGTTGTTGAATGCCTCCAATTGTCATTTTTCTTAACAAATTAGCTTTTTTTTCTTCTCAGTTTGTCGCGTATAACAATAGCATTGATTTGTTCACATCCACACAGAAACCGCATTGATGATGATGACGTAAAATGGTGGCTTGATTAGTTGAAATTGAAGTTCTTATTAGTTCGATTGACATAGGTCGAATTTTAATGGAACTCACCCTCATTTTGATTGTGTGTGGTTTTCTTTAATCCTTTCTTTACGAAAAAAATAAACACAAGAGTAATGAACCAAAATCAGACACCACAAGACGAATGGAAACTTGTTTTTCCTCTAATTAATAGTGATTCGTTTGATTGATTAGCAGTCTATAAATTTTAATTAAAAGTCGATAAATTAACCGTTAATTTTTAATTGCACATTAAGTAATTTGAATTGTTCGCAAAAAAAACAGCAGCAGTAGCGGCAGCAGCACTTTTATAACGAATCTTCTATAATGCACCGAGAAGAAAAAATTTATTTCCCCCACCCAAAAAAAAAAATCGATAATAATTTTCAAACTCCAAATGCACCAGCTGATCGTAATATTTCGATTCAAGCACTATATCAATTGAATTTATTCCATAAAAAGTTTCGATATCGCGACGACGACGACCGGTAAATGGATGAAAAATGTGTGTTGTGCACAATGGATCGAGCAGAAAACACATCTACATTAGGCAGAAACTGAGAACTGATAGCCGGCGAGAGCCCTGAAACACTTCGCTTTTATATTTGCCAAAAAAAATCGGTGTTCAAAAAAATGGCCTAGCCTGTAGATCAAAAAGCTCAGGCGAGTTTGTGCGAGAAACATGTTGGGCAAGTGCCGTTTTGAAAATTCTACCACATTGACAGAAAATTAAGCGAACAAGCGAATAGCGCGAAATGGCTTGAGTACAGAATGAAGTATCAATTCGAAATTGGTGTGTGTGTAGTACGTTAGTTGTATTTGGCTCCGAGAGCCTTGTACGTTCCAAACAAACGAAAGGCGTTTCGCCGTTAACCGATACGAAAAAAGTTTCCCCGTAATATAATTTAGTATTATGAACTGTGTGTGTATTTTTTTCTTCCTCTTCTTTTTCTTTACCAAGCCGTTGTCGTTGGTTTCGCACAGCCACGAAAAATCGAAGAATTATAGTCTAAATTATTGGCGCGCATATTTGCCCCACTTTACAGTTCAAAAAGTTTACTATAATACGACAAAAGCCAGAGCAGTTTTGAAAAAAAAACGGTGATCTGATCGAAAGCGAGCGCGAATGCAAAACGTGCGCGAGCGCTGTGTGTGCGTTCTGTGTGTTTCCAAAACATACGACGACGACAACAACAACAACAGCAGCAACAAAACAGATTATGTCTTCGGTTTCACACACAATATCAATGATAAGAATTATTACTATGGAACATGCTCAATGTGGTGTGTGCCACCACAAGCACAGACACACCAAGCGCGCCACACACACATACACACGCACATGCAAATACAAGCGCACACAAGTGGCATATTTATGAGACAGGGAATATGCTCATTAAGAAAAGCGCTCGATCACACCATACTGTGTATTTACATCATATTCGTCATTCACTGAATAACATGTGTCCAGTGCCACAACAGAGAGGAAGCGAGAGAGAGAGAGAGAGAGAGAGAGAGAGAGAGAGAGCGAGCGAGCGACAGACCAAAAAGCATTATGCGAAATCAGATCGAATTCTTTTCGAATGAAACCAGCCGACATCGAAATCGAAAAGAGACAGAAAAAAGCAAGAGTCGTTAAAAGGAGAAAAAAAAGTTGCGCGATCACATTTCTTGAACCGTTGAGTGAGTAGATTATGTCACAAAATGCTCCCCCCGAAAATAAAGTCACCATTTTTTTCGCTTCACTCTCAGATAGAAGCCATTTCGGAATCGAACGACAGCACCGCTGATATCATATGCCAACAAATATGTGTAACAAACGCACTGTACTGTCTCTTGCCAACCACTGCTGAACATTTTACTGAATTAAAAGGTAATCATAATGCTCTGAAGCAAAAAGAAAAAAAAACACATTCAAAATATAAAAAGATGTAATGATGCGGCCGGACCAAGGAAAATTGCGGAGAAATATTAAGCGTAACATGATCACGATGTGTGTGTAAGCGTGTGTGTGTGTTTATGTGTCTTTCATGGCATGAAATTCATGCAGTACAACGAATGGATTTGGAAGTCATTTACGTTCTCATGTGGTACTAAGATACTTTTATTCAGCGATTACGATATATATACTGTCTCTGCGTTGTTTCCCTTTCAATTTTGTTTTTCTTCTTCCATTAAATTCGGATTCTCTTTATATGATATTGCCATTTTCATTCCATTTAGGGAACAGTGCCAATCAATTGGGTATCTTATGCTTCTTCCAGCTCATTTATTCGCCGAACAAACTCTTCCTAAAATTTCCTTTTTTTGATTTTGCATTCAATTTGGCTTGATGCAGAGTAATTTTTTTCCGTTTATTTTTCACTTCATCCAGATCAATTCCTAAGCAAAAGTACACAACGCCGTACTCACGATTACGTCATGCAAAGTGTAATGCACCACATGGGCAAAGTATTAAGTTCAAAAGAAGACAAGAAGCACATAAACTCCACGAACTGAAACCAGTGTGCCAAAGGAAAGCAAATGGAGAGCGTGTACAGAAAGAGATAAAATGGAACATACATTCAGAAGATCAGAATAAGCGAGAGAGAGAGAGAGAGAGATTGAAAGCCAAATGTGGACACAAGAATAAATGCGCGCGAGTATACAAAGTATAAAAAAAACTTCGATAGGTATACTGCATAAAATTTAATTAGTGCACATACTGTACGTTTGCAGGTTTTTCATCGTCAAGTTGTTCGGCTTTTGTTGCATTTTGCTGCTGCGGTTACGGCGTTTTTTTCTCCTTAGTTCTTGAACAACACTTTTTTCCTCTGTTCGCTTGTTTCACGTGTAAAATGTGAAATTGATCTTGCCCTCGTGTGTTTCGGTTACTCAACCGAAATTGGCTACTTAAATAGAATGACACATAAAATGAACATTTTTAATCGTTGTATTTTCTTCTCTTGGTCTCTATGTTTTTCATTCTAGGACAATTTCCATTTCATCGTAAAGATTTAGCGTTCTGACACTACGTGTGTGCAGTGCCGTACGATTTGGCCCTGATGACTTGACTAGCAAAGCAGCTTTATGCTTTTTGGCGTTACAATTGCAATTGATGCGTATTGTTAGCGGAATGAATGGTCGTAAATTGAGTCAAATTGAAATGGGAAAATGTGGAGGCGAAATGACAAATAAAACAACAGAAACACTGAGTGTGTGTAATGGATCCAATGTGCAAAAGGTAATATAATTCATTGAACAAGAAGAAAAAAATAGCGTGTGCCCGCACGGTATGTATTCTTCGCTGGTGGAATTTGTATATGTGCCTTTGAGCAGAATTTGTACGTTGGTCTCGAAAATGAAAAGGCGCCAAATTCCAAAGAGTTTTATTCCAAAAAGACGGTTTTGCGGTCGAACCAAAAGTCACAACCACAAAAATTGTAGCAATCGTATTTCGATTTGAGTTTCAATTTGGTTCGGGCGACACATCGTTAACAAAACTCTTAATTTGAAACTCGAACTGAAGAACACATACACACACATCAACTTTACAAACGAAATTAATCGAAGTTAAACGCAACAGAGTGAGTGATGACATACACACAACAATTGCGCCATTCCATTGAGAACTTTGGTTTCAAATGATCTGATCCATAAGACACACACACACACACACACACATTTCATTTGAGAGCTTTGTGTTTTTTAATCCGTTGTAAGCGTGAGCGAGCGAATGCGCGCGCGCGTATCTAAGGCGAAAATAAAAGTGATTTGTCGTCACATAAAAATCCATACACAAAGAACAGTTTTCTTTAAAATATGATGTGATTTAATCGCCATAACTTTGGAATGGGTTCGATCGCAGAAAAGAACTAATGAGTGTGAATGGACACGGGCATATCTTTAAAAGAAGCGAAAAGAGCGAAAAATAGCACAGAAGTGAAACAATCATTTAAATAAAAACGACACTGCATTCATACAAGAATCACGCACACGCACCACTGTGTCCGCGCACACGACTGCCACATACGCATAAAATAATCGTAAAAATTACTTTATATATATATATACAGTTACTCACAAAATTGTTCGTACACCTTGCTTTTCCGAACAAAATGCCATTTTTTCATTAATTTTCGTGACAAATGAATTGTATGAGCACATGATTGTAAAAGACTAACTCTTTTAGCAGATATTCATGTATATATTTGACATAAATATTGAACACATAAAAAAATTGGGACCAAATATGTGGAAGTGTCGCTTTTTGGGTCGCACAAAATTGTTAGTACACTGAAGTTTATGGGCATTTTTTCAGTAGATATCCAATATATTTACAGTGAACCGAATTTGGAATCATTTTTGTGATCCTCTACCATCAATTTGACACATTGGTTATAGCAAAAATATCACTCTCTAATCCAGATGGCGCCACCAAAATAGTGAAATGTCGAAAATGGTCCATTTTGCTAGTCACCACCCCAGAATATAGCACTCACATTATTTTTTACCACCCAAATCTGCTTGAACGCATTGAATACCTTAAGATCTTCGACATTTAGTATGACTTTTCCCATTTTTTCAATAATACTGGTTCATTTGTGTGG